TTAAGAGAAGGTGTCGTTTTGAACAATTTTCTTCAATGTTCAAGTATAATACGATTAAATTTGTACATATATATATATATATATATATATATATATTGTATAAATCGAGATACAAAATCGATGTGTTTATCAGACCATGTTTACAGTGAGTTTTGTCAGCTAACTGCTCTTATATAGGCGTAACGTGCGATAACAATAATAGATCGAGTTTAGAGATTATTTCAGTTTCTCATTCGTCATAAATAATAATCTTGAAACTCCATCTGTACTCGTTAATCTCAATTAGTACTGGGCGCAACTTTTCCTCGGGACGAATTGCATAACTGTTGCATCGGGGTTAAGTGCAATGATTGTCCGTTCAAGGAGTTCAACTCGAAAATATGTTTGATTCGCGATTCGTATCAGATATATATAGATATATTTGAATTTTCTTTTTTTTTTTAAGGCACGAATCTTTTGTATCAAAGAAATTATTGGTAAAAATTTATATTTAGTTAGATTTTTTTTATATAATAATATCAGTAGAGCAAGTCGATTTTAGTCGGACATACAAAATAAAGTAGAAAATAAGTAGTTAAAGTCAATATTTAAGTTAGACTATTTATATTTTTTTTCAATTTTTGTCAGTAGTGCAAGAGGATTTTAGTCAGACATACCAAGGAAAGTAGAAAATAAGTGGTACAAGTAAATATTTGATCAGACATTCAGCATTCTTTTAAATTTGTTATCAGTAGTACAACTCGGTTTTAGTCAGACATATTAAATGCACTAGAAAATAAGTAGTAAAAGTCAGATTTAGTCAGACATTCCAAATAAAAAAGAAAATCAGTAGTAACAGTCGGGTTTAGTCAGACATACCAAGGAAAGTAGGAAATAAGAACTACAAGGAAATAATTGGTCAGATATGCAGCATTTTTTAAAAAAATTTTGTCGTTAGTACAACTCGGTTTTAGTCAGACATATTAAATGAAATAGGAAATTAGTAGTAAAAGTCGGTTTTGGTCAGGCATTATAAATAAAATAGAAAATCAGTAGTAAAAGTCGGTTTTAGTCAGACATACCAATGAAAGAAGGAAATAAGTAGTACAAGTAAATATTTGGTCAGACATTCAGCATTTTTTTTTAAATTTTAGCATTAGTCCAACTCGGTTTTAGTCAGACATATTAAATGAAATAGAAAATTAGTAGTAAAAATCGGTTTTGGTCAGACATTATAAATAAAGTAGAAAATCAGAAGTAAAAGTCAGTTTTGGTCCGATGTAATAAAATAAAATAGAAAATCAGTAGTAAAAGTAGGTTATAGTTCGACACAATAAGTAAGGTAGAAAGTAAGTAGTAAAAGTCGGTTTCGGTCAGACATTATAAATAAAGTAGAAAATCATAAGTAAAAGTCAGTTTTGGTCAGATGTAATAAAATAAAATAGAAAATCAGCAGTAAAATTCGGTTTTTGTCAGACGTAATAAAAAAAAGAAAATCAGTAGTAAAAATAGGTTTTAGTTAGACATAATAAGTAAGGTAGAAAATCAGTAGTAAAAGTCGGACTTAGTCAGACATAATAAATAAAATAGTAAATTAGTAGTAAAAGTAAATATTTAGTCTGCCTTTTCGCAGTATTATAATTTTATTTACTTATATCAGTAGTACAAGTCGATTTAAGTCAGACATAAAAAAATAAAGTCGAAAATCAGTAGTAAAAGACGATTTTAGTCAGACAGAGTAAATAAAGTAGAAAAGCATTATGAAAGGTAAAATATTAACTAAATTATTAAATTTTCATAATTTTATCAGTAATACAAGTCGTTTTTAGTCAGACAGTGACTAAATAAAAAAATCAGTAGTGCAACTAAATATTTAGTCAGGCGAATATTTTTTTCCATATAATGAAGAACAAATTATTTCAATTAATAGCTGAAATATATATTTCATTGATATAAAAAAATTAAAAATTTCGTTTCAGGGAATAGTGTATGTAATTATTATATTATTATTTATTTTTAGAAGAAATTCGAAAGAATTTTTTTTTTTTTTTGAACAAGTAGAAAGGGGGATAAGTGCAATTGCAATTGTATGACGTAAAGCACAGTCTGCAGAAGGCAAGTGGGTAATTGCAAAAGGTTGAATTTAAGAATGTAGTAAAAAATAGTAACCTGACCTTCGCACAAGTGTCGGACGAGAATAAAAAAAAAAGAGAGAGAAAGAGAGAGAGAGATGGATATTTGACAATTTAAAGACCCTCGCATGTCATTTGCGTCATTTCGCAATTAAGTTGAAACTTAACATTTTTATTTTCGAAATCCTTTTTTAAATTTTTTATAAATGGTAAAAATAGAAAAAAATGATAATATATTTTATTAATAATAAGTAATAATAAGTAATAATAATAAATAATAATAATAAATAATATTATTATAAATAATAAATAATTTTATAATAAATAATAATAATATTATTATTATTATTATTATTAGTAGTAGTATTAGTATTAGTATTAGCATTAGTATTAGTATTATTATTTTTAGTATTATTTTTATTATTAGTACTATTATTTAATTAATCGTAATAACGTAAATTACTGTAAAAATTTTTGGTTTAAATATTTCCAATTTGGTTAAAAATAAATGTATTAGTATAATTTTAATGGTATTGGTAATAATTGAAATATTTGCAAAGAAGTTAAATCAACTTTAGTCTCTGCGAAATTGAAACAGAAGGATATAATTCACGTTCTAGTTGTCTGAACGATATTCGAGTTTTATCACTGTGAATAGACTAAAAAGCACTTTTAAAATCGTTTGATGATTTTTTTTTTAAAAAAAGTATCTAAACATTGCTGAAATTGACATTTTTTTACTCAAAAAAAAAAAAAAAACAAAATTACTGTATTTAATGTTCAGTATTTCAGAGATAAAATCGTGTTTAGTCAGACATATTTAATTGCTAAGATAAAAATAGAATTAGTAGGTTATCTCTTTATTAATTCTCTAAATCTGAATTAGTAAAAATGTTAACTAATTTTAGTTAGTGACTCATTTTTTGCTTTTTTATTAAATTTTACTAAAAAAAAATTACTTGCTATCGAATTAGTAAAAACTCACTTTCTGCTTTTTAGTTAAATTTTAGCTAAAAAAAAAGTGTTTATATTCTAATTAGTAAAAAACTTATTTTTTGCTTTTTAGTTAAATTTTACAAAAAAAAAATATTGATTATCGAATTACAAAAAAATTCACTTTTAAATACTAAAAAAAACAAACTATTTGCTATCGAATTAGTAGAATATGACTTTCTGCTTTTTAGTTAAATTTTACTAAAAAAAAATTATTTGCTATCGAATTAGTAAAAAAATAACTTCCTGCTTTTTAGTTAAATTTTACTAAAAAAAAACAAACTATTTGCTATCCAATTAGTAAAAAAATAACTTTCTGCTTTTTCGTTAAATTTTACTAAAAAAAAAAAGTTTGCTATCGAATTAGTAAAACTCATTTTCTGCTTTTTAGTTAAATTTTTGTAAAAAAAAAAGTATTTATATTCGAATTAGTAAAAACTTATTTTTTGGTTTTTAGTTAAATTTTACTAAAAAAAAAAAATATTTACTATCTAATTACTAAAAATTCACTTTCAAATTTTACTAAAAAAAACAAACTGTTTGCTATAGAATTAGTAGAATATGACTTTCTGCTTTTTAGTTACATTTTACTAAAAAAAATTATTTGCCATCGAATTAGTAGAATATGACTTTCTGCTTTTTAGTTAAATTTTACTAAAAAAAACAAACTGTTTGCTATCGAATTAGTAAAAAATAACTTTCTGCTTTTTAGTTAAATTTTACTAAAAAAAAATTATTTGCTATCGAATTCGTAAAAAAATAACTTTCTGCTTTTTTGTTAAATTTTACTGAAAAAAATTATTTGCTAACGAATTAGTAGAAAAATAACTTTCTACTTTTTAGTTAAATTTTACTAAAAAAAAATTATTTGCTATCGAATTAGTAAAAAAATAAACTTTCTGCTTTTTAGTTAAATTTTACTAAAACCAAATTTGTACCATATTAGTAAAATTTATACTAAAAAAAGTGAGTCACTAATTCAAATAACTTAAAAAAAAATTTTTTTTTATACTAATTCAAATTTTCAAGAGAAGAACTATTATATAAGGTGAATAAGATTTTAATCAATTCTTCGAAAAGAATGGTATATAAGCGATCCATAGTAAAAGGAGATGAAGTAAACTCGTTGTTGAAACATGCGACCGATTAAAGGATATTGGAAACGTTGTCTGGTCTCGCGTTCACTAGTGATTAAAACTTTAGCTATCGAATGCCGATACTGTAGACTCGCATCCCACATTTCTTCTTTCACAGTTGAAAAATGCCATCGTTTCTCTCTCTTTCTCTCTCTCTCTCGCACTCAAAAAGTGTTTTCTGGTTTATTGACTTTTCTCCGGTGCAAACGCACCGACGTCGTCGGGACTATAACCTCTCTCTTTCTCTCTCTCTCTCTCTCTCTCTCTCTCTCTCTCTCTCTCTCTCTCTCTCTCTCTCTCTCTCTCTCGACTCTATACGAGTGTGTAACGAAGGAACCTAAATCGAACGTCTGGCGTGTCTAGGTCAATAGAGCACTGTGTTTATGGCAACGTTGGGAATAAATACTTCTTTTTTTTTTTTTTTTGCTCCTATACACGTGCGCAAAGGGCAGGAAAAAATTCCCCAATTCATTCCCGAGGGGCAGAAAAAAAAAAAAATTTTTATATAGAAAAGTACAATCGAAATAGAAAAAAAAAAAAAATTACTACTGAGAAAATATGAAAACTTTACGGAGAATTTTACAATTGTATTGTACCAGGAATATTAAAATTATAGGCAAAAAAAAAATTTACCTGCAACAGCGATATGTTTCCTTCAAATAGGGAAAGTTTTTGCTATTTCAGAGAAAACTTATCGCTGTTTCAGGTGAATTTCAAAGAAATTTTTTTTTTTTTTTTTGTAAATTAAATTGATACTTACGCAGCGTGTGCGAAAGGCGAACGATAGGTGGCAAGCAGTAAGGCCACGATGGCTGTGAGGAGGGCAAAGGTCCAGGAGAAGGCGTGAAAGGAACTCATCGTCCTGCGAGACAGCTCTACAAAAGATGCGTCCTTGAAGATTCAAATACGGAAATCAAAAATTCCCCCACCCCCTTCAAAAAATAGAAATCACTTATTTTTTCAAAACTTCAAAAAAAAAAAAAAAAACCATCATCATGATCATAAAAACACAATCACTCGTTTCCTCGTCTCACTAATCCCAGCGAAAGTTGTCCTTCCGCGGGAATTTTTCTTCTACGCGCACATTTCTTTTTTCCTTTCTTTTTAATTGATAAAAAAAAAATTAATTCCACTCTTTCTAATTTTTTGATCACTAGAGATTAGCCCTCTATCCCCCCCCGTTGCGTTGAAGCGCCGGTATTTTACTCTCCCGAGTTCGTTTTAATTTCAAAAAACCTCGGAAAAAAAAAATGTAGGAAGAGGACGAAAATTTTGTTTTTTTTTGAGACGAAATAGGGAAATATTTTTTTTGGAAGCCTCGAGGAATTGAGGAATTTTCTCTTTTTTTTGTGGGGAGGGAGAGAGTCCTCTTCCTACGATGATGATAATAATGATGATGGTGATGATGATGATGACGAGGATGACGACGAGGACGCTTTCGGACACTTTATTTGGAGGCCGCTGATTATGCGGTGTAGGAAATTGCTCCTCTTGTTCGTCGCTCCTTTGGTCCTTATTCTTTCACTTGACATCTCCTCGGGACGGTCGCACCCGCGCAAAGCCGCGCTCGGGAGTGGCGGCCGTCGCTCTGCGCCCGGACATACTGACAGCGCAGGCGCCATCATCGTCTATAACCCTCCATGATCCCAACACTACTCCCCCTTCTCTTCTACCATTTTCTTCACAATCTCACCAACCCTTGCTTCATATCCACCCTTCTCTCTCTCTCTCTCTCTCTCTCTCTCTCTCTCTCTCTCTCTCTCTCTCTCTCTGTTTCTCCTTTCCAGCCACCCTTCCAAAAAGTCTTCCTTGCTGCCTGCTCCTTTTCTTCACGATAACCCTGCGTCACCCTCTCACCAGTCATACACACTCTTATTTATATCTTATACACATCTCTATATATATATATATATATATACGCATGTGTGTATATTTATATTAATTCTTTATAAAGGACTGAGAAAGAACTCCGAAAGTATATTCCCCCTTTAATATTAGTTGACAATTTTTATTAGTTTAGGATAATTGGTGAAACGGATATTTAATAATTAGAATTTCCACTGAATTGCGGAAAAACTGAAAATGAGATTGCACTTTTTTTTCGTTGAGTGGGTAAAAATTAAATTTAACGTTGATAATAAATAATTCAATGAAAAAACCAGTCGAAAGGATATTTGTGAGTATAAGCAAAAAAAAAAACTAAACTCAAGATGAGTAGCGTTTAGTAAGTTATATTTTTTATAAGTAGTAAAAGTCGTTTTTAGTCAGACATAATAGGTAAGGTAGAAAATCAGTTGAAAAACTCCGTTTTCAGTCGGCTGTTATAAATAAAGTAGAAAATCAGTAGTAAAAATATATTTTAGTCAGGCATAATAATTGAGGCAGGGAATTAATAGTAAAAGGCGGTTTTGGTCAGATATTATAAATACAGTAGAAAATCAGCAGTAAAAATAGGTTTTAGTCAGACATTCTAAACAAAGTAGAAAATCAGTAGTAAAAATAGATTTTAGTCAGACATTCTAAATAAAGTATAAAATCAGTGGTAAAGGTCGGCTTTAGTCAGACATAATAATTGAAGCAGGGAATTAGTAGTAAAAATCGATTTTGGTCAGATATTATAAATACAGTAGAAAATCAGTAAAAAAAAATAGGTTCTGGTCAGAACCACTAAATAAAAAAAATCAGTAGAGAAGGTCGGTTCTAGTCAGACACTGAAAATAAAGTAGAAAACCAGTAAAACAAGTCGATTTTAATAAGCCATACTAAATAAAAAAATAAAATTAGTAGTAAAAGTCGGTTTTAGTCAGACGTAATAAAATAAAATAGAAAATCAGTAGTAAAAATAGGTTTTAGTCAGACATTCTGATTAAAGTAAAAAATCAGTAGTAAAAATATGTTTTAGTCAGACATTCTAAATAAAGTAGAAAATCAGTAGTAAAGGTCGGGTTTAGTCAGACTTAAAAAGCGAGGCAGGGAATCAGTTAATAAACTCCGTTTTGGGTTAGATATTATAAATAAAGTAGAAAATCTGTAGAACAAGTCGATTGTAGTCAGACATACTAAATAAAAATGAAAATTAGTAGTAAAATTCCTTTTTTGGTCAGACGTAATAAAATAAAATAGAAAATCACTAGTAAAAATACGTTTTAGTCAGTCATTCTAAATAAAGTAAAAAATCAGTGGTAATGGTCGGGTTTAGTCAGACATAATAAGTAAGGCAGAGAATAAGTAGTGAAAGTCGGTTTTAGTCAGACATAATAAGTAAGGTAGAAAATTAGTAGAAAAGTTTGGTTTTAGTCGGACATTAATAAAGTAGGTAATCAGTAGTTAAAGTCAATATTTAGTCAGACTTTTAAATATTTTTTACAATTTTATCAGTATATTGCAAGTGAATTATAGTCAGACATTCAAAATGAAGTAGAAAATAAGTAGTAAAAGTTTAATATTTTGACAGAAATTCTGCATTTTTTGTAATTTTTTCAGTAGCACAAGTCGATTATAGTCAGATATAATAAATAAAGAAGTAAATTAGTAGTAAAAACAGATTTTAGTCAGTCATACAAAATAAAAAAATTAAATCAGTAGTAAAAGTCGGTTTTATTCATACACAATAAATAAAATATAAAATCAGTAGTAAAAATAATTATTTGTCCAAACATTCAGCAAATTTTTCTAATTTTCTTAAGTAGTATAAGTCTCTTTCAGTCAGGCTTAAAGATTGAATTTGAAAATCAGTAGTAAAAGTAAATATTTAGTCTTTCTTTTCGCAATATTATAATTTTATATAGTTATATCAGTAGTACAAGTCAATTTTAGTCAGCCAATAAAAAATAAAGTAGAAAATGAGTAGTACATGTCGATTTTAGTCAGATATGAAAAATAAAGTAGAAATGAGTAGTAGAAGTCTGTTTCAGTCAGATATAATCAATAAATTAGAAAATCAGTAGTAAAAGAAAATATTTAGTCAGACTTTCCCTTTTTTTGTAATAATAGTCAATAATAACAGTCGATTTTATATTGAAGCTAATAGTGCATGAAGTATAAAAAACAATAGTACAAATAAATATTCAATTATACTTTCTATAAATTTGTTGTACTTTTATCAGTAGTTATATCAGTAGTAATATTATCAGTAGTTTAAATATAAGTCTGTTTTGGTCAGATGTAATAAAATAAAGTAGAGAAAAGTCGAATCAGTAGTAAAAATTGATTTTAGTCAGATATTTCAAATAAAGTAGAAAATCAGTAGTAAAAATCGATTTTAATCACATTCCAAATAAAGTAGAATCAGTAGTAAAAATCGGTTTTAGTCGGACATTCCAAATAAAGTAGAAAATCAGTAGTGAAAATCGATTTTAGTCAGACATTCCAAATAAAGTGTAAAATCAGTAGTAAAAATCGGTTTTAGTCGGACATTCCAAATAAAGTGTAAAATCAGTAGTAGAAGTCGGTTTTAGTCAGACATTTCATAATAAAGTAGAAAATCAATAGTAAAAGTCGGTGTCTGCGGTCAGACGTAATAAAATAAAATAGAAAATCAGTGGTAAAAATCGGCTATAGTCAGACGTTCCAAATAAAGTAAAAAATCAGTAGTAAAAGTCAATATTTAATCGGACTTTCAATAGTTTTATAATTTTATCAGTAGTAAAAGTCGGTTTTAGTCGGACACTGTGACTAAAGTACAATTTAAAATTTTAGTAGTAAAAGTCAATATCCAGTCATACTTCTTATTTTTGTAATTTTTTTTCAGTAGTATATATCGATTTTAGTCAAACATAATAAATAAACTAAAAAAATTCTTTTTTTTCCCTTCTTTCGTTATAAAATAACGAGAAAAAAAAATTGTGATATTTTATATAAACAAATGCCTCTTGTTTTATAATGAAGACTATAAATATAGAGAGCTATTGAAATGAAAGTTCAATATTGTCAAAGTTCTAAATCTATATATATATATAAGTGAATCCTGATTGTTGACTCTGGTGTCAAGTTTGGTTACTATAATGGCTTAATGTTGACATTTGACACTCACACGAACATAATTTAATGGTTTATTATATCAATTTCTATAAAGATCAGGAAACTTTATATTGAAAGTAGTAATCTATTTCCATATTAACAGCAGTCAGTTTTAATACAATTATATAGAATTCTTAAAATATATTTGACATTTTTTTTTGGAGGAAGAAAACAATTTTTTTCAATATGAAAATTGTGATTATATTATACACTCAGAGAAATATTATATGTGATTCAAATATAATATATTTGAGTTAAATAAACATATATTTGTCTCAGAAATTTTATTTGGCGTAAATAATTTTTTTTTATTTGTTTTAAATAAAAATTTATTTGAATCAAATAGAAATTTATTTAAATCCAATAAAAATTTATTTGAATCAAATAGAAATTTATTTAAATCCAATAAAAATTTATTTGAATCAAATAGAAATTTATTTAAATCCAATAAAAATTTATTTGAATCAAATAAAAAATTTATTTAAATCAATTAATAATTTATTTGAATTAAATAAATATTTATTAGACTGTGAGAAAATCACTACTATTGTTGCAGCATTATTTTACATTAATTATTATTAATGTTGTCAAAGTACTTGCATGTTATTTTGAAAATATAATTATTATTACATATACAACATGTTTCCCTCAGGTTGGTCTAAATATTTGCAGGACAATTTAGTAGGAAGCTTCAGAGGTAGGATTTAAGATATTAACTGTACTCAAGCACTATACATACATACATAACTTCTCTCTATATATATATATTCTCTCTTCATAATAAAAATAAGAATATTTTTTTATTAATTTCTAATATAAAAAAAAGATTAAAAAATTGCAAAAAGTTATTTTGTTAATTTTATAAATGAGTTTTGTATTTATAGAGAAACTTTAAATTAAAACGAAAAATTTTTTGTTGATCGGCTTTTAGAGAAAATGAAATTTCCCCTCAAGTGCAATAGTAATAAAACTTTCTGGTTTAGCCACTTACCTTTGCAAAGTTTTTTCATTTTATTCCTTCTCGTAGTTTGGCAAAAGAACGTGTGCCTGTTAAAATTTTTAATCACCTTATTTTCGATTATTTTTCACGTAAAAAAAGGAGTACTCCTTTTTTTAAAAATAATAGTACTATTTATTTAATTCAAATAAAACATTTCTCTGGGTGCAGTAATTTGACTAATCTCTAAATCTGAATTAGTAAAAAAGTTAACTAATTTGAATTAATGACTCACTTTTTGCTTCTCAATTAGTAAAATTTTACTAATTATTAAAAACTTTTACTATCAATTAGTAAAATTTTACTAATTAATTACTAATTAATTACTACTAATTAATGACTCACTTTTTGCTTCTCAATTAGTAAAATTTTACTAATTACTAAAAACTTTTACTATCAATCAGTAAAATTTTACTAATTAATTACTACTAATTAATGACTCACTTTTTGCTTCTCAATTAGTAAAATTTTACTAATTATTAGTAACTTTTACTAACAATTAGTAAAATTTTACTAATTGAGAAGCAAAAAGTGAGTCACTAATTCAAATTAGTAAACTTTTTTACTAATTCAGATTTAGAGGAGTAATGTATAATTATTTTTTAAAAAA